AAAGATCTTCATTTCTGCAATATGTGTGAGTCAGCCACAAGTGTAAAGGGAAATAGGGAACTGGGTTGCAGTTTGGGTGACATACTCTTGAAAGAAGAGAAGACTTCCTCACCAGAAGAGTGCCATGAGAAACACTTCTTTCGTCATTGTATGAGGTTCCACAGAGAGGCCGTAAGCTCTCAGTCTTCAGAGACTTTGGAGACCCACCTGGACAATGTGACATCTGACCTGATCTAGTCTTCCTGACAGTCCTTCCTCATGCAGCAGATTCAGAAACATTTGTTTCTGAACATATGCTTCATTCCATGTGTATATATGAGAAATCTTATGATAATTTTGACATAAATACTAGCTGCCTACTCATTCCCATTTTTATTTAAAGGAACCTAGACTATTGCATTGGTAATACTCTACTCTGGACCGGAAGGTGCCTAAAGCATGCCAGGTAAGTTAGGCTGGATGCAAGTTAGCACACGGCTCACCAAATGGTACTAAATGCCAAGGCTGTTCATCATGGCTCAGTATGGGAGCAACTGAATGCAATATACTAGACTGCAGTTATGTACTTCTGGGAATAAAACATAAAACACACCCAGCTTCTCGGGTATTAGAAACATGGTGTCAGCTTTTCTCACAGTGACCATGTAGCACGTTGTGAGTGAACTTTATCAGTACATTTACTGCCGTTTTGATACTAGTGACCTTCACACTGTTTTCTGCAGGGAGTCAAAGACACTGTGAACTCATGAGCGGAACAGCAACGTGGAAAGGAGGGTTAATTGCAATATGCAGCCTCAGCAAAACACACTGGGATTGCTGAAGTAAAGGAACATTCACCTCTCTTCAAACTGTTTATGGAAACATGTGACATGTAATAATTCAGTTTTGCTGCCCATGAGATGGCATTTACCAGAAAAATGCAGGCCACTGTCTCCTCCTGTTTTATGAGAAAAAAAAAAAGCAGCAGTCAGGCCATATTTCCCAAACCGCATTTTGCCCTGAGTGCTTCAGGGATGGCACTGTTAGAATGTTACAATGCCTAAATCTTGTAGTTGATAACCAAAGTACCAAATCTCATGTCAGTAAACTGCAATTTGTGCAGTTATAACCTCCATTTAATACATGGGCCAACTAGGCAGGAAGTGCTGAACGCGTATCAGCTTAGCTTGATCCGTCATCCTCTCTTTATGTATTCCTTAAAGAAAATCCTGGGAGATATAGATGTAGCATTTCTGTGTATAGATGAAAGGGAAAACATTTTCAAGCCAGGTGCATCACTATGTTTCAGACATCAAACAGATGTGTGTCTAATGAATAAGGTGGGTGTGCATGTAATTGCCGAAGCTATATATAGTGAAGGAATATGTATGGAACTTTTCTGAACCTAATATGCATGCATGCACATATTAATGGTATATGTAATTCTGGTGATCATTTCATCAAGAGAAACCTTGATCATCTCACAGTCTCTAAAGAGCAGCAGTATGATATGTAAGTATGAAAAAAAATGAAAATAGAGGTTGAGTGATTTGTTTGAAACTTCCACTAGAAAAATAATACCCAGATTTTTCAAGGAACTTAGGAAGCCTTGAGGAGAGCAAAATTAGAGTGAAAGACACAAGAAATCAAGATGATTTAAAAGAATCAAATCTGTTATAGACTTTACATCAGAAGGTTTATGAATAATGAGCTGTCTTACTGAGCTGTACAGACTTAATGTTTTGTCTCAGGCAGAATTAGGTCTGTGTTGTTTTCAGAGAAAATTTCTATTGAGAAATGTGGAATAAAGGCCACACAGGGTAAAAGCTGCACAGGATAAATGCCAAATCTCACATGCATGCCATTGAGCAGTAAAGCGAATAGCAGTGTTTCAAATGATCGTAATTGAGCTGTAAAGATAATACATCTTCTACGAGATGGGATATTGCTGTTTTACATTGCTGTTTAAACTTGTCTGACCTAAGCTCAGAGTTACCGGAGTGCATTGGCTATGTTTCTGAGAGATCCGATTCTAATACCAAAGTACATTTGCTGAAAACAAAAGTTCACATTTCCTTTATAAATAAAATCTTCAGAAAGAAAAACTGGAATATATGGACCTCTGTTTTGTGTGCAAGCAAAAGCCCAAGGCTGCAGCAGAACAGCCTTTACCCTTTATGTTACAATTATAAGTAGTTACACATTTTTTCCTAAGTAATGCTTTGCAAACTTCAATATGCAAAACATAGCTTAATATTAAAGCCAAATCATAGATGGAAAATGTAAATATAGTGTTTCATTGGTTTAGACTGAACACCAAGTGAGCTGCCAAGTTGTGGCTAGAGTCAAGTACCTTTTTGACTGCCATTTCCATGACCCTGCATTTAGAAAGCATTACTTTCTGCATTGGAAAACTTTTTTAAAATTTATTTTATTCTATATCATCTATTTTTAATGTTAGTGGCAAATGAATCTTTAGTTTACAAGCATTTGATATGCTTAGATCTTTTACACCTTCACTATTGATTACTGCTAAGGTCAACATTAGCATCTTTAACACTACGACGTTAACAGTACGACGTTCACATTTGTAGTTAGTAGTCCTGACACAAATTGCTTAAAAGTCATGTTCCCATATGTATTCAATATGCTTGTTCCAAGATAATTTTGAAGACTGGTCAAAACCAAAAATCTTGAGATTTTTTCTAAACAGTAGGAAATCAGGATGCTGGGGTTTGACTCATGTCTGTTATAGGGATAAACTCAAACATAGAGGCTGAGATCTTCTTGACTTTTGCAGATATTTGGTCAGGACTATTGCAAAATATTTTGTTCTAATGTCAGGACAGCTCTCTAAAGTTGTACTGATAAAGTGCTGCATACACATGTGGCCGATGCTCTTATCAGGATAAATATCTGATGTGTGTGCATGGCTGACACCTCAGCTGCAGCTCCGTAGCCTTAATCTTCTTCTGAAGTCAGCTCTGTCAGAGTAACACGCTGCCATAGTGACAAACTGTGAACTCCCCTGTCTGAAATGTTAATCACACCCTCATTTCTGGTAAATATATGCCCATCTGCAGAGTGCCAATTAAAGTGAGATAGAAGCAGAAATATATAACATCTTAGGCATATAGTCAGTATATTTGGCCTCAGGCATGAATAATTAGGACAAACAATAGCAATCATTAGTACAGTAAATTGTCTCTGTGTATGCAGCTTCCTTAAGTCAGTAGGATTGTCCTGAAAATAGTGCCTAAAAATGCAAAGCCTGCATTTCCATTTCCCAGAAGTGGTGTCCCTGATTTTCTATGCGTCTCATTTTTGATAAATGTGTCATATAACTGTGACAAACACTTGAAAGGCAAGCTCAATGAGAAAAACCCAGTCCAGCCATGGTGTGCAGACATACACTCTTTTTACAAGGTTGTTCAGTTTCTGCAGTCTGTAACTCTACTGTGTACTGATGGTATGGGTATAGTTTCACTTCTGGGCTTTACAGTCACATTGTTCTTCTTACTGAAACAGCAACTGAGTGAACTGGATTTCCAGGGGCCTGTGCTTGCCACTTGCTATTTGACCGTCTGGCTGATTATTGAGCAATACGAGGCAAAGGACTCTCTTCTTTATAAGGGCCGATCACAGTGCTTTCAGAACAGGTATGGCAGCTGTTTGTGTACCAGTTATCTAGTTTAAGTAAATAAAAAAAAAGTGGCTATATCTGTCTGCTCAGTTTTCTAGGGGGGGCTAGCAAAAAGAGGGTAAAGTTTATACTGCCTAGATTAGAGGCAGTTAAACATCACCTACTTGTGTTGAACCCTCCCTATTCATTTCCCATGTTGAACTGAAAAATGAGATCAAAAGAGGCTCTTCTAGGTAAGAGCCCCTGAGAGTTCTAATTAAAACTTGTAATTTCGGATCTCTTATTCTATGTTCAAACTGGTCTACACTATGACATTTGAGTTTTTACAAGACTTTGCACAGATGAAGTAATGAAGAGCCCTAATAACAATTCACAAGAGACAGCAAACATATTTATACTTGTGACCTAATTAATGAATGAGCTGTCACCTCACATAAAGAATTTGTACACTCCAACGAAGAAAAATAGTTCAGCCAGAGAAGTAGTCTCTGCAAGCTAGTCTTCAAAGTGGTCTGGGCAGGTGTCAGGATAGATTTTGGTAGAGAATTCTCAACTTGTGTAAGAAACAGCAAATATTTAAAGCTATTTTGTTCATGAAGGGCTGAAATGGCTACTACAGAAATGTACCCATCTCTCACCTGCAGGAGATGTGTTAAGTGCCAAGTGCCAATAACCTTCCGTCACTGCCTTCACTCATTTATCTGTGGCACCTAAAACATGCACCCTCTATCCAGAACTCATTCTGACAATGCACCAATCCTGGTGTGAGTCCACAATTCTAGTATGAATCCATGCTTCCAAAGTAACAAGATAGATTTGCCCTTAGACAGTGCTTGTTCAATTAGAAAACCCTTTGGAAGTCTTGATTCAGATGAAGGCTTCTTGTTTTTATGGTAGCATTTCTCTTGAAAAATAATTGAAAAAGCACTGAATAAATTTCGTATAAGCCAAAATATTCATGAAAATATTTTCTCAAATCATCTATTTTAACATAATTTACTTTTGTCTTGTACACAGATCCACTTTGATTTTACTCAGTAACTTGGCAGAGGAGTGTTTTAAGACTTTAGTTTATTAGTGAACTGTGCTATACATACTCCAAGTCCTACTTTATCGTAATGGATATGCAGACGCAAAGAACAACATTCCCTTACACAAGAGAACAAGCCTTACACATTCTGCTTTACACTACCTCTTCCATTCCCAGCACAATCAGTAACACTAGTGAAATTACCATTTCTGCATGCATCGCCTTCACAAATTAAACTTCCTCATTAAGGTATTTTCATAACCACATGTGTCCCAACGCTCTCCTGCATTGCTGCCCTCACCTGCCAGATATCAAACACACAGCACTCAAACACAGATCTGAATTTACCTTAAAAATACTGATCCCAAACTCTCTGTAGGGCTGCGTGAAGGGTCATTACTTGAATTTCGGAAGCTGTTCTGACTTTCAAAATGGAAAACAGAGTCCTCCGAGAAATTCTTTTTTCTCATTGTTGTAATGGCGTTAGCCACAGCTAAGTAAGTTCAGCTCTAAAGTGATCTTTCAAAAGCACAGTCTCTCACTGCTATAGGAAGTGCATTCTTGGTGTGACTCCAGCTCAGGCTGGTTATTTAAATCAGTTAATAAGTAACTTTGACATGACATCATAACGTGGCTTTCCCTTTATTCATAGTGCTTCACAGGCTTATTTTGAAACAGATCTCATCAATTTCAGGTGCAATATGTCTTTGGGGTATCATTATTAGTAACAATAAATTGTTTTGATGAGTAAAGAAGGGATGTAGAACAATAACACTAATTCAAGTGATATTTCATTGACAGGTTAGCTTCAGAAATGGTAATGTTCCCTCTCATATATTCTACTTTGTGCATTAACTACCTGCCTTTAATTATCTGGGTTCGAAATACATAATTGCATATCTTTTAGCAGTGACTGTATCCAACCCTTTAGACATGTCGAAATTAGTGCATTGCACTTCCACATTAAAAGATTTGTATACATGCACACACAGATTATCATGTAATTCTTGAATTATCACAAAACATCTGAACAAAGCCAGTGTGCCTAGCTTTTTTTTTTTTTCCCCATAGGAAATGGCAAACATTAACTGCAAACTTGTACAGTTTTTAGTTTGTTGAAGATGACTATAAAGATTAGGTTACTGAAGAAAATGTCGTGCAGTGTTTCTTTAAATTTTAAGTGCTGCTGTAATGTGCAATGAATATCTCAAGACCTCTAGAAATTGTCTTAAACTTTCAGTTAGGGTCTGCCTAGTAGTAAGGGTTTGTCTGTGAGACTGAACAAACATGTGGAATGTAGCTCACTCTTTCTTTCTCAGCATCTGTAAACAGATTATGAAACAATCCAAATGTGTCGGGCTGTTCTCATGTTTTACTGGTCAGCTCAGAGAAATCTAGTCTTTCTGCCTAATTTGTTCTGTCAGTTCTTTGTATGACTAAAAAAGCATGGTCTTTCCTCTTTTGTTTTAATGGAATTTATTTTGTGGTCAGTATTAAGCCAATTTTAACAAAATTTGTAAATAATAGCAATAACAGAGGCCAGCTATTAGAATACAGAATTGACATCAACAGCAAGATGCAAATGCCAGACAAAACAACACGTTACCTTGGAGGCTGAAATTCCAAATGGGAATAAGAAATGTGAAATCCTGGAAGAAGAAAGGAAGGCAAAAAAGAAATGAAATATACTCTTGATTCTCTTAGATATTTGCTATGAAATGCAACACATTAAACTGACTTAGTGGCATTATTTAAACAGATTGAAAATTGTATTGGACTACTGCTTCCCCTGTGCTAAATTTCTTCAGTTAATGGCTCTTTCCAGAACTTAGTGCCACTTTAATTTCCAGCCACCTAGGCCTTTAATTACTCATATTCTGCTTGACTGTAGAATAAAAACACAAGACTGCCTGGTTATCTCTGTACTTTAGTCCTGTTTTTAGAAAGCAAACAAACAGAAATATAACCTTCATCAAATACAGCAAGGTAAAGCTATTCTCCTCCTCTAGTCACAAGCAGAATTGGCCTTGGCTCCCTTGCTTGGTTCACATATATCCACTTTTGATAGGGAAGTCTTTATTCTTTTTAAATATGCAAATATCCTTAGAACTGACTAGAAAGCTTCTGTGACATTCTGAACTCCAGAGCCATAAATATTAATCTTTAGCTTTGAAAACAATCTGCTTGTATAGTAAATGCAATGAAAACCTTTTAAGAAAAGTCCAATGGCAACTGTGTTTCTCCTTAAAGAGCAAGAAGGAGGGCATTTGACCTTTTTTCCCTTGAAAGGGTAGCTACAGGAATACTTTCAGAGTAACAGCCATGACATGATTTACTCCTTTGAAGCTTGTATGTTCCTTCTTTTGTCTACAAAAGAGTTAGCTTCTCTTATAGAGCACTGCAGCCATCCTAAGTAAGGTAAGTGTATGCCTTCCAACCTGTAATAAGGTAGCCTCTTAATCCTGCAAGCTACTGCTATGCTAACCCCATTAGGTGCTTAGCTGAGGAGCCAAACGTCTTTTTTTTTTTCATTCTCCACAGGAAATGGCACACAGTAGGTATTACTGCATAAGCTAAGTTGCAATTAGCTTGGACATGGCTACATAAGCTTTGTAGCATGGACCCTGGAGTTACGTGGCCAAGCAAAAGAGTTATCTGGGATGAGGGCTTAAGGCTCTTACTAAGCTGCTTACGAAGTGTTCTCACATTTGTCGAGAGCTGCGACAGCAACTGCTTGGAGTGGTGGAAAGAAGGAAAGCGGGCCCACAAAATGCAGTTCGCGGGAGCTCAGGTGATGACAGTGGAGCTGTTGCTGGTCCAAGAAATGGAGATTCCCTCTCCCTGTCAGGCTCAGGCAAAGCTGAGTTCAATACTGGTTTTTAGTAGCTTTGCATGACTGTGGTCAGGAAATGTTTTGGAGATTGATCAGGAGCTGGATAAGGAGACTGTAGTTTGCAGTTAGCCCATGTGGGCACATCTGATGATGCCTCTGCAAGACGTATGACTTATACTCATGCCACTTTTATTGGAAGGGAGTCTCTGCTGTCTGATGGATACAGGGATTGCCTTTTTGATGCAAGTATTTGCAAATCTTGTTTACAAGCACTGTGCAAATTTTTAGGGTAGCCACTCACTCTCTGTCTTTTCAAACCCTCATATTCATGAAATTTTCAGTGGAGATTCAGATCCCTCTAGAAACATCACATCTAAAGATCTGTGGTAGATGCCATGCCTACTTTTCTTAGTCTGTTGTTTCAGATCTCTTAGCATTAGTTAACAGACACCCACTTTGTCAGTGTATCTTTTCGGTCTGATGCAGTGGATCAGGTGTGGGGAGAAGCTGATACTGCTGGCAGTGTAGCTATCTGTTGTACACTGCTCCCCAGAGAGTTGTTCATCACGTTCTGAAGAAGTGGGTAACGTGACATCAGGGCTTAGCTCTGTGGCTTGTCCTCAAAACGCATCTCTTGATGCCTTGTGTCATGAAAACAGCCTTTTTCCCTTTACTTTTTCTTTCTTTTGCTCTGTTCACTTTACTTCAGCTCCATATGCCTACTTGGCCACGAGTATCATTGTTTTCCTCAATTATCAAGCTATGTCCTTTAATGCTGACCTTTGTCACCAACACTCAGTCATTGCTTACCTGCTAGGCTATATCCTGTTCAGTCTAGCACTGTTGCAATTGCTTCTGATAGACAGATGGGGAAAAAGTAGTTGGTGCCCTTGAACCTCACACAATTTTATTCTCAGCCTGTGCAGCCAACACTGAAAGGTAACAGTTTTGTCCTAAATAAATTATAATTCTCTCTTCTTATCCTCATGTCTCTAGTGATTTTTTCAAAGTGAGTTATTCCATTAAAAGAAATGATGGGTTATTTTTACTTTTTCAATGCCCGAATTGACATGTCTTTCTGGGGAAAGACATACAGGGACATAACTTAACAACAGCAATTGTGTTGCACCTATTGTAAGTTCGTGTGTCTTATTAAGGGATCTCATGCAACAGATGGGGAGGGAAAAGTGATGAATTCTGGGTGTTCAGAATGAAGGCTTTTGCTTATGCTGAGAAAGCTTTTGTGCTATGTACCATGTAACTGATAAGAAACTGAATAGAGACTACAAGTTTCCATGATGATAGTCAGTCTTCTATATATATGTGTGTGTGTATATATTTGTACATATACATATATTAAGTAACAAAAGAAAAGGTACAAAGGTAACTGGGAGTATTTTCTGAGCAAAACATTCAATTTTATTACCATCCAAGAATGAATCAAAATTAAATCAACAATAAACCAGCAGTTGTGTTCAGGACAGAATGTCATACCAGTGACTCGGGATAATAGCTGAGGCTTTTATGTACAATCTTGTAACATTTCACATCTTGGCTGAAGTGTACCCACAAAGCCTTTTAGATTTTATAATAAAGAGCAGGAGAAGTGGGTGTTTCTTCAGTTCATACTGCATCTCAGGATGTACAGGGCTATAAGATTATGGAATAGGAATCTTCATAATTAGTCTGTAATGATCCCTTGAGGAGTGGGGAAAAACCTACATCTATTTAACAGCCTGAGGCTCTGAGGCCTGGCTTCGTGGGTTTGGTTCCCTTTTTTGTTTCCCGCTGTACATAAAAAAGCAGCTGCTCTGGTTCAGAGCCGACCTTGTCCTTCCTGGTTAGGATTGCCTCCAGTTGTTTTCTTTTCTTTTTGCTGCCTGCACCAAGCCTGTGCAGGAACTAGTCAGTTTGCTCTGGTTTGTACATTCCAAGTGTAACTATCTTGTTCCAACAGATAGATCCAACAAAACATGGATCAGCTTGCTGGTTAAATTGATCGAGACATTTCTAGTAACTATTTTGCATCCCTTCAATTCCTGTTTCTAATTTTATGTCCCCCATTTTTGCTGCTGAGATAGTGTTCGATCCCTTCACCTCTATGCTCAGTGTGATGCAGTGAAACTGTATACAGTGAGTTGTGCGTATTTCTGCATGAACTTAAACCAATACTTTGTTAAGCATTTAGGAAGCTGCAAGGAGATATTTGGAATTGCTGTGAGTTTTTCTGTGCTGCTGTAAATGAGAGAAAAACTGTAAAAAAAAAAAAAAAAAAAAAAAAACAAGCAAGGGAGAAACTCATTTACTGAGCAAGGAGACTCCATGTACTAGACAGGTGCCCTTGTCGAAGTAGGTGAAAAGGTGGCATGCAGGTATTATGTGTAGAGGAATGATGCAAAGAACTGAATGACTATGCTATCATGACTTTTGTGGTAGTCTATGGCTATTTTTCATTTCATTAATCTTGTTATAGGACCATGCACTTAAATCTACCTCCTTTCTCTTCTCTAGTAGGGTGGCTGCCTCAGTAGATGCGGTTGTGCTGACCTGGCCCCGAGAGCTTCCTTGAGGCTCACACAGCCTCTGGAGCTGCACAGCGCTGACATGGAGCTGAGAGTGCTCAGCCAGAACCATGCTTGGGAACCT